CCGCGGGCTCAGGCAATCCACTCACCTCAGCCTCCCAAAGGCGTGGGATTACAGGCTGAGCCACCGAGCCCAGCTCCAGCTCTGTTTCTTAACTAGCTGGGTGGCCTTGGGCAAGTTATTCAACATCTCTGAACCTCAGTCCCCTCATCTGTAAAATGGAGACAAGAATAGTATCTACCTCGTAGCTTGTTGTAAGGGTTAAATGAGAAAAAGATGTATAAAGCATTTAGCATGGTGCCATCTTAAATAATAGCTATTGTTATTAAGTGGGTATAGAACAAGCTTAATATACTAATAAGGACACATCAGCAATACCTTTAATTCTATTCTCCTGGCATAAATAATCCCTGACCAGACAGCCATTCTGGTTGCCATGTTTAATTACTACTGTCCTTCCCTCACTCCCTGGCACCACTGAGACCCAGCAATTCCTTCTCCCTGAGCAGCTTCATGTTCAGTATGTATCAAAGCACAAATGAGCTTGCTGCTAATTGAGTTTTGGCCTAAAAGATTAAGCACATTTCTGCAAGTGTAGCAAAGTGGGTCAGTTCCCACGGTGTCAGCTCCCACAGTATCTCCAGGATCCTGGGAGGAGTAAAGCCCCAGGCCCTGCTACCTGGGGAGGAAAACATGGGCTCTGTTCTGAAGCACAGAGACTGCCCCCGCCCGTCCTCGTCCTTCCCACGGCAGCCCTAGTCCCTGTGGGACCTCCACCCAGGGCAGAGGCTCCCGAACCAACCTGGCTGATACTTACTCCAACCTGATGGGGCCTTCTGAGGAAGTTTTGTCAAAGAGCCACCGGAAGAAGAAATCCAGACTGAAAAAAACAAAAGAAATAAGCATAGAGTTTATTCCCAACGCTCCATGTCATCACTACACGTTTTCATTTTATTCTACTCTAAAAACAGCCGAGGCTCAAGATCTATATTTGTTCTCCACGATGCCAGTAGCTGCAGTATGACTTACCAGGGCCTGCTCTCACAGAAACTTCCTTCCTTGAGATAAACAGAGCCATGAGGAGCCCTTCCCTAAGTAGAAGAGCCCAAATATGTTTCTTTTTCAAAGAAAAACAATCATATTTCTAGAAGAATGACTGAACCAGCACCACTGCACTCCAAGTGGGGACAAACGGGCATCGACATTATTAGATTGGCATCCGCTCCCAAACCCTTTGCATTCTCCTGGGGACAGTGCTCTCCAGAGGTGAGCCTGGTTCCAGATTTAGAGCAGGAGGTGGTGGTGTGTACCTGGTGAGGCCCAGAGAGGGCAGGATCAGCACCATGAAGATCAAGAATATGTAGACCTTGGTCATCATGATCCGGTTTTCCCCTGACCTGCAGGAAGTCAGAGGTGAGTGCTTGCAGCCCCCCAAATGCTCCAGGTGCCCCTAGTGAGTCCCCGCTATGTGCCCTTAGCCCTGGGCAGGGGGTCAGAGACATCTTTCTCAGGGGAAGGGCCTCGGGGCCCCTGGCACTCACTTGGTCCAGTGAGACTCCAGCAGCGTAGAGTAGTAGACAATGGATGGGAGCAGGGCTGAGAAGGACCAGAGCAGGAGGGTTGGGAAGAACTGGCTGATAATTGGGTCCTAGGAGAGAGGCACAGCACAGAGTCAGAGGTCATGGGCCATGTGGCTCTGAGGCCATGATCTGTTGGCATGGTGGCTCAGTGGACTCCCGGGGTAGGAACTTGGTAATCCTTGACCCCCAGGACCAACACTGTGCCAGGCAATCCATGAATGTTGGTTGAATCAACAAAAGCACCTTCCGTCCATATCGCTCTTTACAGCAAAGAAAGCAGTTTCACATGCAACTGAATCCCACTTATCTGACTGAACACATTAGACAATCTTCTTTGTTCCCTATAAAAAACCAGTAGTGGCCAGGCATGGTGGCTCATGTCTGTAATCCCAGCGCTTTGGGAGGCCAAAGTGGGAGAATCACTTGAGCCCAAAAGTTAGAGATCAGTCTGGGCAACATAGCAAGAGCCCATCTCTACAAAAAAAATTTTTTTTTTTTGAGTTGGAGTCTCACTCTGTCGCCCAGATTGGAGTGCAGTGGCCGCTCCCAGCCACCGCAGCCTCGACCTGCTGGGCTCTGGTGATCCTTCTGCCTCAGCCTTCCAAGTAGCTGGAACTACAGGTGCCCACTACCACATTCAGCTAATTTTTGATTTATTGTGGAGATGAGGTCTCACCAAGTTGCCCAGGCGGGTCTCGAACCCGTGGGCTCAGGCAATCCACTCACCTCAGCTTCCCAAAGGTGCGGGATTACAGACTGAGCCACCGAGCCCGGCTACTACCAAAAATTTTAAAAAATTAGCTGGGCGTGGTGACACATGCCTGCAATCCCAGCACCAGGGAGGCTGCAGTGGGAGGATTGCTTGAACCTAGTAGTTCCAGGCTACAGTGAATTATGATTGTGCCACTGCACTATAGCCTGGGTGACAGAGCTAGACTCTATCTCTAAAAGCAAACCAACAACGACTGCTACCAAGGGGAGACCAGACACTTAAGGCCTGGGCTCCTCTCCAGACGGCCCACTCAGCTCCCACTGGCCCAGCTGTAGCCCACCAGGATTCCCTTGTGTTTGTTCCCAACCCTTTGGGTACCAATTGTACTTGTTATTGTAATTGCATGGTTTGATGAACTTATTACTTTCACTGATTTGGTGAGCTTAAAAATAGACATTTTCTTTGAAAACTAAGCTAGATATTTTGGAAAGACTTGATAAAGGCCCGTTTCTAAAAAATGCTGTTGAATGAGATGAGAGTAAATTAACTTCAAAAGCTCAAAGGATACGATTCTAGGGAGAGTCTTTATTCAGAATGACTTTGCAAGCATCTTTAAATTCCTGCTTTAAAGAAACCAACACCAAGCCGGGCTTGGTGGCTCAGCCTGTAATCCCGTGCTTTGGGAGGCTGAGGTGAGTGGATTGCCTGAGCCCACGGGTTCGAGACCCGCCTGGGCAACTTGGTGAGACCTCATCTCTACAATAAATCAAAAAATTAGCCGGGCGTGGTAGTGCGCGCCTGTAGTTCCTGCTGCTCGGAAGGCTGAGGCGGAAGGATCGCCGGAGCCCAGCAGGTCGAGGCTGCGGTGGCCGGGAGCGGCCACTGCACTCCAGTGTGGGCGACAGAGTGAGACTCCAACTCAAAAAAAAAAAAAAAAAAAAAAACCTCACCAAACATCAGCTCATTTGCTCATCATGACAACAACCACATGAGTACAATAGGGGAGGTGTTTTAACTTCAGCTCTTGGATGAAAAACAGGCTCAGAATTCATCCGTTAGGCACAGCAAAGTGAAGATGAGGAGGTCCTCCTGCCTAGCATGCTTTCCAAATGAAAATTAACCAAATGCCAGGTGGAACTGAAAAAGAAAAAAGATTTCAGGAGATATTTCAGCAAAACTAATTATGAGTAACCAATATCTTTTCAAGTAGATGCCGATTGAGGGAGTGTGTAACTGTTATCTCATGGATTCATCTAATATTTCTGGAAGCCATTCATTACCTGTATAGAATAGATGATTTTATAACAAGATTACTGGGAGCTAAAATACAAAATAAATAATTTGTCATCCTGCCACCCCAGTCAACAAAGCTCTTTTCATTCCTTCCCGTCCCTTCCCTGCAGTGCCTACCCACACACACATCACTGGTATATCCCTATAACCACTGCTTGGAGACGATTCTGCGTTCTGCTTCCATCATAAGCTCCCATGTCTGCCATCAAGTCTACACAGTTTTAATGGATGCTTGATATTCTTTTTTTTTTTTTTTTTTTGAGTTGGAGTCTCCCTCTGTCACCCAGGCTGGAGTGCAGTGGCCGCTCCCGGCCACTGCAGCCTCGCCTGCTGGGCTCCTCAGCCTTGCGAGTAGCCGGAATTACAGGCGCGCACTACCACGCCCGGCTGATTTTTTGATTTATTGTAGAGATGCGGTCTCGCTGCCGAGGCGGGTCTCGAACCCGCGGGCTCAGGCAATCCACTCACCTCAGCCTCCCAAAGGCGTGGGATAACAGGCTGAGCCACCGAGCCCGGCTAAAATATATATTATATAAACAAATTATAATATATACTACAATAATATACAATTATAATTATATACAAGTATAATAAAATAAATAATAAAAGTATATATATATATATGACGGGGACCCCAAAAAACCAGAATTATCTTTTGGAGGGCAAGCCTCTTTTAGTACAGGCTTCCCCCGCTAGGTGTTCTAGGAATCCATCGACATCAGTGTACCCGCTAGCGTTGTTGGGTGTCATGATTTGTGGAAGAAACATAACGAGTTGTGGCAAACAGGTGACTGGTTCTTCCACCGTGACAACGCACCTGCCCACCTCATGATGAGTGTCCAGCAGTTTAGGACCAAAACCAGCATGACCTCCATGCCCTACCCTCCCTATTCACTGCATCTTGCCTCGAGTGACTCATTTTGTTTCCCCGGATGAAAAAAGTCCTTTATATTACTATATAGGCATTGTCATAAACAGGGCCATGCCTGCTCAGGACTTAAATGTGAACTGAGGAACATGGCCTCCTGGTTTAGTTACCGCCCCCCCACATATACCCCAGCCCCTTCTCTTTCCCCATCCGCCATGCCCTCTTCTCACCAGCCCTCCAGGGATGGATCTTGCAGAACTGCAACTCACATTCAGTGCATGGATGGGTTTGGTGACATTGAACTTGTCCATGGTAGACAGGATGATGGAAGGTGTGGTCAGGAAAAACAGCACCACGAAGAGAGTGAAGTTGATGCCCAGCCACTGAAGCCACCAGCGTAGGCCCTGGATAGAGAGGTTCTTCCTGCAGAGGGGGACACAGGCCCCAAGGCTTATCCTCCAGTGTCCGCGGCTTAGATGGGTCAGAAGGTCAGATTTAGGCAGCCCACGAGACTAGCTTGGGGATTCCAGTTGAGGGCACATTTGGGCCTCAGGAATAAAGGCAAGTTCTCTGCACAGACCTTCAACTACACATGTGAAGGTCTCTGTGAGTTCAGAGGGAAAATAGTTTATTCTCCCTAATGTGGCTCCCTGGCTAGAGTATGGGAGCTAGAGCCTACCCAAGGGGATGCCATGAGCACCCAAGCAGACCAAACAAGGCTCCAACATGGCATTTCTTAAATATGTCTGCAATGCTTTGTCTTCCCAATGGGGCCGTGGCTGGGGTACAGGGAGAAGCGGGGAGCAAGGAGCCATGGCACAGCTGGAACCTGCCCTGGCCTCTCACCCCCACCGGAACAGACCCACAAACCAATTCCAAGTTTGGGAAGCCCTATGAACCAAACAGCAACGCTGTCAGAGGCTGAACCAGAGCACAGTAGAGGCAAGTATCAAAGCTCATTGTGTGCAAGGAACTGAGGCAGCAACGTTGGGGCCTTCGCTGGGGGTCCTGACCCTCATCATTATACTTAAGGCTCACCTATGGCCCCCGTGGACACGGCTCAGCTCACCAGCGTGCCCCCTAGGCTGACACTCGAACTAAGGCTGCACTGTCCAACATGGTAACCACAAGTTGAATTGAGAGGTGCTTGAAGTATAAAATATGCACGAGATTTCAAAGATTGAGTATGAAAAACAGAACGTAAAACATCTCAAATTTTTGAAAACGTGATTACATGTTGAAATGGCAGCACTGTGGATATAATGGAAGAGATGAATTCTTTTTTTTTTTTTTTTTT